TTCCCTATAGATATGGGTAGGAGCAGATGGGGGTTTGTGGACCAGGAGACCATAAAAGGTTGAGGGCGTTCTTCCCTAAGAACAAAGGGCAGCGTGCACGCACTGTGTGTGAGAGGTGGAAAGTGAGACGGTTGTGGTCAGAAAAGGAGAGATTCACAGGCGGAAATCTTGGCAGGTGGAGACCTTGGTGCCGTGTTCATGAGGATAAACTCTAGAATGTGTCTGCACTGGTGGATAGTTATTATGGGATGATGTGAGGCCTACTGGAATAAATTTGGGCAAAGGAATTGTGATTAAGTGGAAACTTTGAATTTGAGAGGATGCTGGGAATAAAATGAGTGGAAAGAAAGACCATAGGTAGGTACCGCTAGCCTGGGGACATAATGAGGTGGGGCAAAAGCAGGTTTACAGTTGTAAGTACACAAGACACAGTTTGCTCTTTTATTATTATTTATTAATTATTGCATTATTTCCTATATAAACAATTGTGAACCTACTTTTGCCCCTCTCTGTGTACTAAGGGTTTTCAGCACTATACTAAAGGCACTGAAATAAGTAATGAATAGCAGAATAAATACCAACAGAACAGAGAAGCAGATCATAAAGTACAGTGATGCCCCAGAAGTGGACACAGTCTATGAGCAGGCTGGGTACTTTTGCCTCTTGGCCTCGTGGTTAGTTAGAGGGTGTGATCCTCATGGCAGGGATTGTAAGGAATAACATGTTACTTGGAAGATCTACTTGCAGTTAATGTGAACAGGTAAAGGAATGGGGAAGATAATGATTTGAGGACATAGGAAAGTTTGGCCTTAACAGATTAAAGACCTGTGAGAGTGTTTTGGATAATAGAGTGTTTTGGATAGAACAAAGGGCAGCGTGCACGCACTGTGTGTGAGAGGTGGAAAGTGACATGGTTGTGGTCAGAAAAGAAGAGATTCACAGGCAGAAATCTTGGCAGGTGGAGGTACATACAAAGTTCTTAACCTTGGCTGCACAATGGCATTGCCTAGTACGTGCTAAAAACAAAAAAATACACAAGCAAATACCCAGACCAGTTAGATGGGAACTTTTGGGTTGGGACCACAGGGATAGTTTTTTTTGTTTGTTTGTTTTTTTTAAAGCTCCCCTCCTGGTTCCTATGTGTGTGGGACAGAGAGCTACTGATTTTGGAAGAGCATGAGTGAGGAGTAGGGTGGGGGTGAAAAAGGAGGAGGTATTTGGAAAGGGTGATGCAAAAGACAGCATTTATGGATGACAGACAGTGGAGAAGTAGGAGTATGGGAGAGAGACTGGTAGGAAACATTAGCAGGCACGGTGCCAAAAAACAGAACTGAGGTAATGAACGGCCTTTTTCTGAGTTTATCTGCCCCAAGTTTCCATTTCCAGAGTGGGTCTGAGGCCGTGCTGACCAGGTTGAACTAATTGTCTCCTTTGGCAAGTTAGGTAGACAGCTCACCTGTAATTAGGATTTTGGTATTTCTCATTATTATTAAAAGGCCATGAGGGGCAAGGAATCTTAGCCATTATTCATGTTTGTTTTAGGCTAAGTGCTGGATCCCCAGATGCTGAGAATTTATAAATGTCTATTTCAAAAGTTTTGACCACAATATAAACTGCTCTTGGGTTGTTTTTGCTCCTTGAACCTGTACATCAGTCTCAGTGTTGACCACTAATTAATCAAAATTATTTTATAAAATATTACTTTTGTTGGCATGGCTTTGTGTTTATCTATTGGGAAGAAAGGTTAAGAGTGTCTGAGTATAACTACTATGTGTGTGAATATAAAATATGTGTATCAAACATTTCAAATATGATGTAGATCTTTTACAGTATGTTTTTTGCCATGATTTGTCTTGGAATTGTTAAAAAGATTTGCCTTAATCAGACCCCATGGCTCCTCTACAAATTCTAAGAAAAATTTAAGCCTAGGATGATTTCTATCCTGACAGTACCTCAGAAGTATCACATTTGCAAAGAATATAAAAGAGATAACCTTAGGCTTTACACTTGAGCTGTGTGTTCACATCATTTATTCAACATCAGAAACTCCTACAGGCTTAACCATCAGAAATATATTCAGTGACTGACTGTCTCATTCTTTTCATGGACCCAACTTGCCACACTCAGTTTTCATGACCCAGAAAGACTCTCTGGATAGAAACCCCAGAAAGAAATACCCTGATTTTCAGAAAAATTGCTTCTCTTGGCTTTCTTGACACATGTTTCTTATACTCCTCTTCTTCCTTCCCTGGGTGCTCATCCTTCAGGAGCTCCTCTGCTGGCTGCCCTTCATGCTCCCTTGCAATAGCAGGGCTCCCCTTGGTCCCTAGAGTCCAGGCTGGAGAGTCCAGACTGCAGTCAGATGCCTGGGCATGAAGCTTGGGCTCTCCACTCAAGAGCTGTGTGGCCTAGAGCAACTTGCTTAACCTTTCTGTGCCTTGGATTGCACTTCTGTAACACGGAGATACAGGTATCTTATGGGGTTGTTGTGAAGATTACATGAGTTAATAAAAAATATTTAGAATTGTGTCTGGCACATAGGAAGTTCTCAGTAATGTTTATTATTTTTATTACTATTTTCTCCCTCTATGCTCCCTTGATATTCTCTCCGATCACCATGAATGACAACTATCAATATACAATTGGTTTTTCAGTCTCTATCTCAGGATCCGTTCTCTGTTCAGAGAGCCACACCTATATTTTTATTCTTTGGGTATCTTTGTTCTGATGTGTAATTCATATCTCTAACTCAACACTCCCAAAGCAAAGGCACCATATCCACACCCCAAAGCTACCTGCCCCCTGCGTCTGCTACTGTTCCGTGAGGCAGACTGGATCTTTTGGCCACCCATCCAGTGCTCGTCACCATGCCCTGCAGGAGCGACTTAAACAGCACTTCTCACACCGAGTCTCTCCTCATGCCTCTGCCATCCCTACAGGCCTGCAATGTTTTTCTTCTTAACTTGACTCTATTTTTTTCATTGACATCAGACTAATATATTTTTTTGACAATCTATGGATTTGTAGTATATTTTTTATTAAAGATTCTAAGGTCATTGGTCCTAGAATGAAAATATTAACCAAACCCTTGGTTTCATGCTATATGCACATAACATTGAATTGATGGATTTTTTCAATTAAAGTTGATATTTAACATTGTCTTATATTAGTTTCATGTGTGTAGCATAGTGATTAGACACATATAATTTACAAAGTGATTTTCCAAATAAGCCCAGGATCCATCTGGCACCATATAGAGTTATTCAAATATTATCGACTATATTCCTTATGCTGTATTTTCCATCCCTGTGACTATTTTGCATTACATCCCTATGACTATTTTGTATTACATCCCTGTGACCAATTGGTATTTCTTTTTTTTTTATATTTTAAAATCTTTTTTAAATTTTTCAATTACAGTTGACATAGAATATTATATTAGTTCAGGAGTACTCCAGTGATTAGACATTGTGTACCTTACTAAGTGATCATCCCGATATATCTAGTACACATCTGTCACTATACATAGTTATAAGAATATTATTGACTGTATTCCCTATGCTGTACTTTACATCCTCATGACTAGTCTGTAACTACCAACTTGTACTTCTTTTTTTTAATTTATTTTTTTATTGTTCATTACGCTGTTGATGGGAATGCAGACTGGTGTAGCCACTGTGGAAAACAGTTTAAAATTTCCTCAAAAAGCTAAAAATGGAACTGCCTTTTAACCCAGCAATTCCACTGCTGGGATTATACCCTCAAAATCCCAAAACATCAATTCAAAAAAACCTACGCTCCCCAATGTTCATAGCAGCACAATTTATAATTGCCAAGTGCTGGAAGCGACTTAATGATGCACATCATTAAATGAGTGGATCAAAAAACTGTGGTACATTTACACAATGGAATCCTGAGCAGCAGAAAAAAAGGAAGTCCTACCCTTCACGACTGCATGGATGGAACTGGAGAGCATTATGCTAAGCGAAATAAGCCAGGTGGTGAAAGACAGATATCAGACTAATATTTTTAACATATATTTCCTATCATGTCTTTCTTCTGTTTAAATCCATTAACTCAAGAAACCGAATCTCAACTCCTCTCTCTGGCAGTCAAGGTTCATCCTAGAAGAACTCCCATCTTTCATTCTAATATGCCCATAGGGAGTCTGTATTTAGTGTTCTCTCTGTGTTTTTTAATGCTGTTCCCTTCACCTAAAACTATTTTTTATTTTTTATTTTTTGCCATTATTGTTGGTCAAACCATATTTCCTATTAGGGCCAGTAGCAAAGGTTAGCTTCTCAGATTTCCTTAAAGTAGTACCATGTTTCCTCTCCTGAACTTCCACAGAACTTCGCATACATCTACAGCATTAATCACACTCTGACTTGTCTCCTACTCCTTGGCATACTTCGTTTATTTCTCCTTCTAGATTGTAACTTCTTCAAAGGCGCTTACTATATCCTTTAAATTTTCAAAAGGGATAAATGAATGGCAATAATAGCACCAGGTATTAAGCTCATTTATTCTGTAAAGCAGCAGCCTGTTGTCAAACGCTAACCCTCTTCCTTGCAGTCCTCATAAAAAGAATGGGAAAGCATATAAATGCAGTAGCACACAAGAGGAACATACAGTGTGAACAATTACGCCAATCCCTTTTATAAGAACACAGCTGAGATAAACATGGAAGCAGGTTATTTACCATCCGTGAGCCTCATTGCCAAATTCTCCCATCTAAATTTTTCATTAAAGGAAATCAAAGAAAGTAAACAAAAAGTAGCCCTTGGGAGGAATCAGCATAATGAAAACAGCTCATCTATCAGAATGGCCTCAGAGACATGTCTAATTTTTTTATAAATTGCATCTTTTGGGGCCAAGCACCTGTGTTCACACACTGGGGCACGCACACACACACACAGTTTCTCTAGGTGTGCCTGGTCACACCAAACCTTGGCTTTGGCGTGAGGGTGAAAAGGGCAAGTCAGGCAGGAGCCACTGACCTTGAGGGCATCTCGGGTGTCATCCAGGCAATAAACTCGGACACTGTACTCTAGAGAGGAGCAGCAGAGCGGCCCGAAGATGGCCAGCTTCAGCCGCTTCGCCGCGGCTTTGGTGGTGGACTGGCCTACGAGCGCGTAGGTGCTGAGGTTCTCCGTGAGGAGGTGGCAGGCCTCCGCGTCCAGCTGAACGTAGCAGGGCGTGGTGAAGTTTTCCTCTCCCACCACCACCACGTCCTGTGGGCGAAGAGGAAACCGGCATGGTTGAGCCCTTGAGGATCCTACTGGCGGCCCTCATGGTGACCGATGGTGGGGGCTGGAGGACGGTTTCTCCTGAGTTTTGGTTATTAATTTTCCTGCTCTTTTTTTTCTTACTCAGGCTTTATTATACCTCGTTTTCCATCCTTTGTCATTATCTCCCTTCCCTTTATACTGCTTATATTTTTTATTTATATGTCATTTCTTTAACATGTTTTGATCTTCTGAGAATCTACATTACCGAAATCTACATAAAATTCTAAAACAAATTCATGAATTATCCTTTTAACTTCAGTGTAGATGTGTTTATTATGTTTATGAAAATTTGATGTTTTATTCTCTAAATTTCTTACTAAAATGAAAAGTACTATTTTATTTCAAAGTGATTATAGCATAGTAGGGGTTTTTTCCTCTTAAAAATCTAAGGGTTTGAAAAGAATTAGGAAAATTAAGGAATTATATGACACCGTTCTTCTATGTTCTTCCAGACTGACTTGCCAATTACTTTCCAAACCAATAAATACATTACTCTTCTTCAATAATTTGGGCTGCTGGACTCCACAGAAAGCAAACTCCATGTCCTTAAGACATTTTTCTCTGTTACTTTTCATGTAGGCTTTTAAACAGTCTGTCCTTTTAGATTTTGAAAATATTTATCAAGAGACAAAATTAAGTGGAATTGATGAATTTTGTGAAAATAGTTACTAACTCAACTAGTTTTTGATTTATCCAAATGATTCAGGCCACAGAAAAAATCATCTGAAAGACTAAACCTAGAATCCATAAACCAAGGGTCACAATTCCACATGCTCCCCAGGGCATCTAGGCAATAGGGATGTTTGAAGCAGGAGGGGCAGAGGCAATAAGGAATGGTGGAGACTGTGGTAAAGCAGAGCACAGGCCTGTCCAAAGAGCTCAGTCTCCATTTGGTTTCAGCCCTTTGCAGCTTTGCAGAAAAGCAGGCCCAGTGAGCATACAGCCTTTAATTTTTCAAGAGAAGCTGGGACTTAAGATTTTTTTATGTGAAACCTTCTTACTTAATGAATTCAAATTAAAAAAAAACTTTTCATGAGGGAGAAATAAAATACATGTGCAGGTACGATTCACCCTCTGCATTAGCTACTTCATCTCCACAGAGGCAGGAACTATATCTGCTTTGCCTCACTGTGTGTCTCGGTGGGCCTGGCTCATGGCGAGGAAATAAATGGTTATGTATCCAAAAAATGAATGCGTGAGTCATCACAAATTGAGTCCCTGGGGCTGGACAAAGATATGAAAGAAGTAGCCCCCTCAGGTGGTTGTTTATTACTTAGGCCTTGCAACATCATCTGAGTTCAAATAAGAGCTGCGTTTTCATAGCATCCATGAAATTGTTTCTCTACCTGAACCTGTACCCAAAGGTGGAGTGAAAACTGAACTGGAAAAGAGGCAGAAGCTCAGCACCTCCAGGTTTATTTCAGCCCCAAAAGGACACCTGGAAAGATGCTGCTTTCTCCAGCAGGGCAAAGACAAGTCCCGAGCATCATTTAACACTGGAATTTGACAGAAAGCCTCTGAGAAGATTGGTCAAGAATAAAGATGCCCCATGTCCCTGTCACAAGTATGAGTGCTTTCATATGGATTGTCCTCTCTTTCTCTCTCTGCTCTTCTCATCTCTTTCTTTTCTTTATTATTATTATTTATGTTATTATTACTCAAATTGTTGTTATTCAAATTTCCCAGACATAGGCAAGGTTTTAGGGTATTAGGCAGAGAACTGTACCAACAATTTGGGGTTAAGACCGAGGCTTTGGAATGTTTTGGGGATAAATCATTTACAGGTTAATGGAATTGGAGTAAGATTTGGTTAAGTCGGGTCTTAACATAAAGTGTATCCGTAGACTTCAATCCTGGACCTGAGGTCCTCTGGCAAGGGGCGGTCTGCTCACGTGGCTAAAGGAGAACATGTCCATAGAAGGCCCTTCCAGTTACTCCCAGGGATGCCCTGCTGCCCTTCTAACTCTAATACTACTTTTTCCTAAAATGTTAGGATCTTGAATATTTATGTATACTTTTTCAAAAATTTCTCTCTTAAAAGAGAAATATAATATGCAATCACAAAATAGATCACATATAGATTGGATACTTGTCTTTATAATGATTACATAAAAATACAGGGGTAGCTTTTAGAATTATTTTTTTAAATTAACATATTCCTGAAATAAGCTTTCCTGAGAATAATCTAAAATGTAATTTTTACTCGGCTATTTTCCATTTAAACAGTAGATATTATTTATTCAAGGGATAACAATGAGAATATACAAACTTTTTAATAGGTGTTAGGTATAAAATCTTCATGGTAAACATAACAAATCCTATTGCACTTTAACTGTAGGTGCTAACTGAAGGGTTCTGGTGTCAAGAACAGGGTTTGCTTAAGGCACTGTCCTTAAGAAGTTATGATGACAAGAGCCACAAAGAGGCAAGATGCTGTATGTAGGTGATCTTCATCTTAGTGGAGGTTAGAAGGCCGTTTCAGTTTCCCCAGTTTAGGTTCTGAGGAACTAGATTCCTAAGGCTTGTTTGCAAGTGCCTAACACTTTCTGACACAGGTGCAATATTTCTCTACTTGCAAATTTAAACTATATATATATATATATATATATATATATAGTTTATATAGTTTATAATTTTTTTTCATTCCCAAGACATATTATGTATTCTCTTGTAAGACTCCTAAGTGCACTTCCCCTATGAGTTAGCCCACGCTTGACCATAATTTTCTGTGTCTATCAGTAAACAGATAATGTATTTAGTCAACTGTCTGTCTCTCTGTCTTTCCCCTTTCTGGCCTATCTCTTTTTCTCCCCTCTTTTTGTACCACCTGCATATTTTCTCATTTTGAGTGTGAGATAAAATTCCATCCATATTTTGCTTTAAAAAAAAAAATCTTCCCATGGTTGCTCTTGCTTATCTGCATGGATTACTCCTGCATTCCCTCTTTATCGCAAGAGAAGCTCACCTCCCACTGGCCCTGCGCTGCCTGGTTCTTGAGCTGTATCTTCCAGTCCTCGGTATTGGGATCTGCACAGTGATGCATAGTGAGGATGATGGGGCGGGTCAGCAGGGCTCCTGGAGGCCCACAGCTCACCACTGGGGTCAGCAGTGTCTGAGTGTCTTCCATGGGCGGCCTAGGAGAGCAGAAAACAGACAGCCTCGGTGACATTTCCATAGTATTTGTATGTATGTACTCTTTGAGATTTAGATCTAAAATTGAAGAACTAGCTTCTTTTTGGAGTTTTCTTTTGGTGGGAGGTTAAGGCAGAACCAAATTAGAAGACACGCTCTTTATTCTAAGACTTTGATCTTGCATGACTGGAGGTCTTTATGATAACAGTGGGTCTGCTAGCACCTTTTTGATCCTCTTCCCTCAGATAAAGGTCTACCTTTGGTGACTTCCCCTGAATTCCTGTACAGGCAATTTCAGGATGGAATGAGAAGAAACAGTCCTTCTTATGAGGTTACATAACCATGTTTTTCTGATCTCACTTGCCATTGGTCTCGCAGGCTTTTATGCACTTTTGTGTTTCTGGGACCTTACTTGAAAAATATTTCAATAAAATCGCTTCAGAATAGGGATACCCTAGAGCTAAACTTCTAAATGACTTTCAGCAATAATTCAGGCTAGTGTAGCAAACTCATTCTTTCAGAAGTTACCGGAGAGAATATAGAATTGTATTTCTATAGCAATTTAAAATGAAATCTCTTTCTTTGTGTACTTTATATTATGAGCAACTGGATGGAAAGAACCTTAAAGATCTAAAATCTTTATTTCACTTTTTTTTTATAAATTGCTGTAAATATTTTCCCTAACAAGGTTGTAATCAACAAACAAATGGATAAAGGAACCCACATTATCAGATGGTATGTGAAGAAGCAAGCGTTCCCAAGGTGTTGAGTGGGTTGCCCTAAGTCACACAACTAACAGTGCTGGTGCTGGGACCAAAACCAATGCCTGCTCAACAAGAGGTCTCAAAACTGCTCTGTCAGATAATGTGATTTAAGAAATCATTGACTCATAGATTTTTAGATCAGGGAAAACCCTTGTGGTCAACAGGTAGCACTCTCTGTCCAAAACAGGAGCCTCTCTACAGTATGCTGACATGTAGTTAGTGCTTTTGACACATCCAGAACTGTAGTCCATTACTACTGAGGATCACTTCATGTATTATCAACTAAATTTACAACACATTCTTATTTAAAATGAACACAATCTTCCTTCCTGACACTTCTCTCTACATATCCCTGACCTACTTCCTCTCCACTTTGGCATGAAAGCGTTTCAAATATTTAAGGATTGTTATTATGTCTCTAAAAAGTCTCCTGTATTTGAGACCAAACATCCTTTCAATACCTCAAGTTTTTTAAACTTCAGCTAGAAAATCATGATTTACAGATCTCTCCCTATATTTTTATGTTCATTTTTATATAGATATCTGTCAGTGTTTCAGTGTCTTCATTAAAGTGGGGCATCTTTAAATAAATGGAATGCTCAAGTACACCGTTCAGGGAGACTACTGTGTGTTTTTTTTTTTTTAATTTGAAATATGTAGTTTTATCAATGCCTTACAAAATTGTTGTCTTAGATTATTCTCAATCAAGTAATTATACATATTATTTAGGAGGCTGGAGTTAGATGGGACGATACAGATAATACGGTTTTAAACATCTCCTTTATCAAATGAGGCAATAAAGCCCCAAGAAGGATGAGTAATTTGTTAAACTAACCACTCTATGCATTTCTAATATGAAAGGCTCTTTGGCTAAATATCTATAGTTATGTGGTTGCACTGATGATGGCTTTTGAACCTATATACAGTAATTTATATTTAGCTATTTAATTTCATCTAAATGGTGTCAGGGAAAATTTCAGGACATCTATTTCTTAATGTTATATCTTTTCTCCAAATATTGGCTGTCTCATCCAGTCTTTTATCCTCCATAAATCTGATATGCCTGCCATTTATGTCCTCATTCCAATCACTGATAAGATTGTAATTCAAGAATAGGGCAAAGACAGTGACCTTTTCAAGGACACCACTTGAAACATCTCCCCAGTCTGACGTCAATACTTTTGAGTTATTTAGTTCAGCCAAATATAAATCCATTAAAATGTACATTGTCTATTTCACATCTTACCATTTCATTCACATGCATATCGCAAGGGACGTATCAAATTCCTTTATAATGGCAATAGCCACTTGAAATGGACTTTTCTCTAGTCTTTGCCTATGATTTATATATTAAATACTACATAATCTAGAAGTTCCCATATATCTATGGCCTCATTTAACACTCAATGAGTGATAGCAGTTGTTACTATTTTTTTTTAATGCTGTTGGAAAACAATTCTCTACGGAGCTCTCATGTTTCTGTATGTTCCTATCTTTTCATGGCAATTGCATGGCATACACCTTGGAAGATGAAGATAGTGCTTACCCCTGTAGCAAATGCCAGACATGTCTACTTCCCATTATAAAAGACTCAGGCTCCCTAAGCCCAGGGGACCTTTCCTGAAATGCAACCACTGAGTAGGTAGATGTTGTTCGACTCTCTTGGCACCACTCTTTCAGAACTGGGCCTCCGGAAACTGGCACAAAAATGGTAATACTCTGGATAGCGCTATTGCTGGGAATAATAAACTGTACTTTGTCTTTGACCAGGGTTCTTGTGCCATCTATCAGCTGGTAGCCAACTTGATAGCTCATGAGCAAGGTTAAATCTTAGAGATTCTCTGTAGTTCTTTGACAATTATCACTATCAGCTCTGAGGACTCAATTAAAATTTAGCATACTTGTCCCTTAATAAAATTTAAGGCTATCATTGTGGATATCATTGCTTCCTCTCTCATTCTAAAATTTTACTAGAATCTCACCAACCTATGGGCTATTTTTCCTCTTCTACTTAGAGAATCAAAATATTTTTTGACTCCTTTTAGTTTTTTAATATCATCTCCATTCTCACTGGATAACATCACAGCTTTATTAAATCTAAAGTTATCAAAGTACTTGGAACTGTACTTGTATTTGGAATATTAAAGTTACTGGCAGCTTGAGAACTCATTACTATCCCCTTTGCCCTCATATTCATTTCCTCTTAACCCAGCTTTTCCTCCTTTCTTCCAGTCTGAAATTCATTCCCTTAAATCATGAGTAAAGTTTTACTTTCACCGTGTCATAGTTACTATTACACTACCTGCCCTGAGCTTTTTAAATTCTAGTTTTCCTACCCGAGGTGGGGGGAAGCAATGATTGCATTTTCCTGGGTACTACGCTTATCTCTTAGTTACAAGTGTACCTTAAACATTAAACTTTTTTAAAAATATATTTTATGTCATTTAATTTTATGTCATGAATTTATTGGAGTGGCATTGGATAATAAAACTATATAGGTTTTAGGTGTACAATTCTACAACACATCATCTGTATATTGCATTGTGTTTACCCCCCACCCCGTGCCCCGCAAAGTCAATTCGCCTTCTATCGCCACTCATCCCCCTATACCCTCCCCTGCCTCCCCCCGCCCCTCCTTTCCTCTGGTAATCACCATGCTGTTGTCTGTGTCTATGGAGCATTAGACTTTTAAGGAAGGAAACTAAAGTGGAAACCATTTCAAGTGGTCCTTGCAATACAATTGGGGATTGGAAACATCTGTCTCTCAGTCTGCTGTTAGCAGCCGGTGGTGCTTGAGGCAGAAGGAGGAGGGGTTCCTTTCATCGCTGAGTTGGAACAGAAGGGAGGAGACTCCCTGCTGGGCCAGGGAGCTGTCAGACCTGCGCTCTCCAAGCACACCCCTGGCATGCAATATTGATGGGTGCCATTCTTGGAGGAGGGATAGTAAGAGGAGGAAGGGGCAGTAGGTGTCAAAAGAATTTATTAACCCAGCGAGGTGCAAGAATGTAATGAATAGGGAAGTGGCGGAGTGAAATTCATAACAGGGAATGAAAAACAAAGAAGAAATAATGATAAAAATCTTTTTTTGTGGTTTCAAGATGAAAGAAGTATTGTTGAAATTGAAAACATTCCCAAACATTTATAGAAGGAGTGACTTAGGGATGGTTAAGATTTACCAAAGGTCAGAGTGTTTAAATTCACAATTTCTTTATTTATATAAAGAGATGGTATTAAAATCCATAAAATAAAATAGTAGAATATAAGTATAAATAAACCTGATTCAGACAAATAAGCCTGTGTTTGCAGACAAGGGTCTGACTCTTTTATATTATGTGTTATCCAAGCTCTTTAAGCAAACATTGTGTAAATATTAATTGCAGATGATATGGAAATTAATGCAAAGCAAAAATTAGCTGCAGAAGCAGCAATTAAGTAGAAATTCAGTAATGAACATCGATTAATATTTTAAAACCTTTTTTAAGTCCAACAAAAATAATATCATAGTAAATGCCGGATGGTTTCTGAGGCCTCTAGAACAAAGCTCTCAGATAGGAGTTTTCATTTCCTGTCTGATTTTCTCATCCTTTCCTTGCTATTATTAGTGAGGAGAGCGTCTTCTACACAGAAGTTCATAATTTACAAAACTTTCACAAAAGCAATTGCATTTGCTGCTCACAGCACACCTGTAAGGTAGTTAGGATAAGTGTTTATGTTACCTCTTTTCCAGAGGAGGAAACTGTAACCTGGAGATATTAACACACTTGCCTAAGGCCGCTTAGCTAGTCAGAGGCCAAGCCAGAATTCAAATACAGTCTTTTGGTTTCTTTCACATAATGGTGTATTTTGTGTTGCTTCTCTGGGTTTAGGGCCTTGTGAAATTTTTTGTCTGTTTCCTTAGTGAAAAGAAGCTGTCTCCATCCACCTTTGTGTGGAGCCGAGATGCCGTTTATTAATACGCAGGTCTTTGGTCCCTAAAGAAGGCGATCCTGCCGTAGGCTCGCTGCCTTTTAAAGCACATGGTTTTACCTATAACTGGCAACTTGAAATATTACTTAAATTCTAGGTATTGGACAAGGAATATCTTATTAATTTGCTATTAAAAGCTCAACTGAGAAAAAAAAAACAACCCAACACTAAAAACAACGGAAGCTGTTCTAAAGGTGTGCCACCATTTCCCTGGGCAGGCCAAAATCTACCCCAGATTAAGTATTGTGCCCTGGATTCAATTACTGAATCCTTGTGTAATTATTTTACTTAATTTATACCTGGACCTTATACCATCTACTTACTTTGAGGGACACTAACAGAGGCAGCCCTGTGAAACACATTGCTGTTTCTAATTTAAGGATGTTGTTCATTGTAATAACAAAATGTCTTCTTTAGAGGAACCACAGAGAAATCATGGAGCTTCTTCCAGGAATATTTTTTCTTCATGGATGCACGGATCTTATAGCTTACAAGCTCCAAAATAATAAATGCATGACCTATTATCAGAAAATAGGCTGTGAATTACAGCAAGTGTTTTATAGTTTAACTGCTTACCTACCTTTAGCTTATCTTATCTTTTCTAATCTTATTTTTCCCATTTTTAAAAATCCACCTACTTAAATTTTTACTCTCCTATTGAAAAGGCTGCATTTTCACAAGTCACCTTGAATTATTTCTTTAAATATTATTTCAATATATAAACATTGCAGAGAACAGTAAGAGAGTAGGATTTAAATATACCTGGACTCCTCTTCCTCCCCCCTATTCATTTAGTCTCTTTATAGCTGTTCCTTCCAAGGAGAAATTTAGGGTGCTAATTAAAAGGAAAATACCCTGAGTTGCACTGAGAAATAATAATGTCAACTACTGTTTACAAAGTTCCAAACAACATGTTCAAATAAATGAAAACTACCTACTATATAATTACCTACATTAAAGATTCCAGGCCCACTATCCTAAAACATTATTATTTATATTCTGTAAATTTATATGATAGTTTTAATTGCCTCACTACTAACTCACACTTTACACTCTTCCTACTGGGAATTCATCCTTAAAAAAAATACCCAAAGGCCATAAATGTTCTGCAGTTGACAAATTTAATAATTTTTAAATTATTCTTCTTCTCCTACATTTTAATTTTAATAACACCTCTGCAAACCACTTCCCCCATCTTGAAACTCTCTTTATCTTTGATTCTTTTTGTCTTATGACACTTAGAAACAGTCATTCTTTCATTTCAAATATTTCAGGGGCTCTGATATGTTAAGCATCATTCAGGATACAAATTTTTTATCTGCCTTATCCTTTCACGTTCTGTTTAGTTTCTCTCATCACAACCAAACCCTAAGTAGGAATATTGCCCAAAGTTTGCTCCCCAGTTCTCTTCTTTCTCCTTCTGCACTTTTTCCCTGGGAGGGGCCACTCACTGGTGTCTTCCCAGCCGCATCTCTAGCACGAGTCCCTGATCCCCACTTGCACACATTGTGCCCCCTTAACTCAGAATACCCTTTCCCCTCTTGAACCAGTTGCTGCTTCTGACCTCTTTCATTCTCACGGTGCCCAAGGCTTGACACCTAAGTGTACAGTCCATGTGTTTGGCATCGTTTCCCAACAGTTGTGAAATACTTTTTCTTCTGAAGTATCATTCACTTTCCATCCTCCAGACGCGAGCCTGGTTCTGTGCCCACTCCCCTCGCACCTAGATTATTGCCACAGCCCAGGTAGGCACCCAGACTTCGGGGGAGTCTTTCTGTTCCCTCCACCAGTTCACCCTGCCCATCATCACCAAAGCAATCTTTAGACGGCACTGCTATTCCTCTATTACTTGGCTGCTGAAAAACTTTCTAGCTCCCCCCACCCCATAGTTTATAAAAATGTTCTATTTATCTTTATATTTAGAATGTCTAAATTGGTTTTTCGACCTTTTAAGAAAATTGCTAGACAAGTGCAGAGAACAGAGAAAGGGAAAATTAATGTTCATATCTTCCATTCAAATTGTTTTTCAATAAGAAGTGACAATAGATGAAATTTCAGTCTGAGTGAGGCTCATTTTTTTAAAATTCTACTAGAAATAAGACAAAAAGACCCATGTGCGTGTCATTAATCGTGGAAATCATGCCCACAGGGGTGCAAAGGAGGTTTTGCAGCTTTTTCAGAGGTCTGTGGAGCAGGGGAGGTAGAAATCGTGGGCACAGCCTTGCAGCTCTGCTCCCATTTGGTCAGAGACAAGCTTGTGCCATCGCTGCAGCTCATTTCAGCTGCTCATCTGCCATTCAGTGCTTTCTCTCAGAGCATATTCAGTAATGACAAGGCTCCTCTTGTCACATTCACTATGCCACATGTAATTAAGTTCACGCCTCCCTTTAGAAGGTTCACATCAGCAGATGACCAGCTGGATCCTGTCCAGCTGGAAAAACACCCAGTTCTGGATGCAATAAAGGGAATCAGAGAGAAGGAAAATGGAGAAAAATAATCAGAATTTTCTCATAAATGCTTTGAAGAAACATTCATATCTCCTGATGTCCTCACAGGGTCTTCTCTGTAAGCTCTCTCTCACATTGTGTGGGGATAGAGGGGTCTTTAGTGAGCAACAGGAAGACAATGTCTTCCAGAATGCCCTAGAATAAGAAGGCTGAGGTTTGCCTTGTGCACGGGTGGGACGGAGGACAGACTGCCTGTAAGATCGAGCAGAAGAGCTTTGCAGGGAGATAACCTGGGCGTGGCTTCTGCTTTCCCTTGGCCTTTTAACTGTGGAGCCGTGACTATGCAACTGCATTTCCCTGAACTTAGTTTTTGCATCTTTAAAGTGGAGTTCATCATAAGTTGCAGAGTAGTAGGGAGGAATAAATGAAATTAAAAGTATGCTGAAATAATGGTCGCTATGCTTTGTATTATGACTGTATCCTAAAACACATCCTTGTCACTGTGATTTTACAAGAGAAAACCCATTTGGTTCACAACAGAAAAGCAGCAAAGAGAGGGACTTTCTCATTCATTTGAGACAGTTATCTTTTTGTGTTTCTTCCTGTTTCATGGGCTGTTCTGCCTCCGTTCTTTTGAGATCTGGAGGTTTCTCTAGCTTCATTTTGATAAACAGAATTTGTGTGAGGCACACCAAATTCAACAGAATGTTGTCCTCTGCACTTCACTTCAGGTGGTAGGCATGGCAAGGAGGGGTTTTGTTTCCTTTTCTTTAGAGTCAAAGGCAGAGAAACCTAAAAGCAGAAGTGTCCTGCTTTATCAATTTTCTGTTTGCTCTTTCTTTCATCCAAAGCGTACAATTATCCTGGTCAGATGCCGACTAAACTATGGGAAGGAAAACCGTGGGCGGCAGGTGACCGCACACATCTTTCGGCCTGGCCCTGCAGCAGCCCCTTCTGGCTTGATCTTCAGCTAAAGATAATGCTGATCAGATGGAAAATAAGAGACCATGGACACCTCGCTGCTTCTTAGCATAAAGCAACAGCCAATACTCATTTCTGTTTAAACAAAATACCCATGTTGGCCTGGCCTTGAGAGATGGAAGTACTTAGTGCTAACCTTGACTCTGGACAAGAGAAAGAAGAAAACAAAATACAAAGGAATCTTGGGGCTTGCTAATCTTCATTTCTGCTGTTGCAAAACAAGGGCTCTGTGGGCCCCTGACTGTTACTTTGCACTGAGAATGAAAAAATGAATATTTGATGTGAGTAAATACAAGCCTTTTAGTGATCTTCTTGTGCTCAAATTTAAGGTATGAATAATGCTCAAGGAAATTTATTATTTCCTCAGACAGGCTAGTGTTAATGTAGGGAAAGCAGACCACCTGAGGAAAAATGTCCTGGGTCCTACAGATTATAAATATCAATATCTCCACCTGCAAGCATGATAAAAGAGCTTTTTTGGCTACCGAAGAAGACCAAAATGGATGTTTTTCGGAGGTTGAGAGAGGGGAAGAGAAAAGGTATAATATGTTATAACGGTAACCTAATTCTGCATTTGTCACTGATGCTTTGTATTCAGAGCTCAGGACTGAAGAGCTAATGCCTTTCCCCTTGGGAAAAACAGCACAAATTACATGTAAGGATCGTTATTTCAACAGCATCTTTTATTTTAAGATCTATGTACTTCAGAAACATTAATCAGTCAGGTCTTTAAAGCACGATTTAACACGTGAACCTTTTGTGGGTACTAAGCAAGAAATACCATATATAATTTGTTAGAGGCCAGATGAAAATTGAATTTAGGACTTCTAAACTCCTCTTGCTATTTTCACTTAAAATAACTTCATCTTTATAATGATGACACATTTGAAACAAAATGTTTTGATTCAGTCTAGATTTAATCAACCCTAGCTCCATCTAGAAAGGCTCAGCATGGAATTTATAGTTGTTAAACATAAGAAGACAGTTGATAACACTTAAGTTAGGAAGAGTCACAAAAAAGAAGAATCTGCAGGTGAGAATAAAGCGCTAGGCTGAGGTAGGGGTGACCGGTCAGGGGTTAGGGCTTGTCTAAGTCTTGTGACATTTAATTGTATATTGGGGAAAGGTTGGATTCTTGAGCGAGGCCACATGAAGCTGATGTCTCTGTGTCTACCCACATATCTCTCTGGGTCACATTCTATGGGTCACATCTCTGTGTCTCTCTGGACAATCTATGGATTATATTTGGAGCCATTTTTTTTCCGCTAACATGGCCTGAGATCCACTTGGCAAGAGATCCCTGTTTTTCTGCCCATGCTCCATAGTCAAGATCTGCAAAAGTGTCTGCGGCCTCAAAGATAAAGAAAAGTAAAAAATTGACCCTTTACAGAGCTAGGGATACAAGGGTATGCTAGAAACAAGGCATTCAAGACAAAAATATGTTGGGTTTATTGTTTCTATTGTACAATTTCCTTTTAAGTGAGACGTTGATAAAGTCAGTGTGCCAGAAAAGCATATTTACCTCATAGTTTCTTTCCTGTGTACAGTCACATACATTTCGTAGACTCTCCCTTGGGGAATGGCCCCAGCGGGAATCAGCAAGCTCACTCCTGAAGAGCAAAAGAGAAAAGAAGTCATATAAGACTTATGAATTAAAAGGAAACTTGAAGCAAGTGAAAGGGAATGAGAGTTTGTGGCCATGTAGCTATCTGTAAGCCTACTTTTTCTCTAAAGACGTGTAAATATTCATGGCTGCCCTGCTTTTCCTCCTTATTGGCCTTATTTGTTACCACAACTCTCTCTGAACTGTTTGGGAATTTAAATAATGACGTAATTTTTAAAACTCTCATTTTATTTAAGGAATAGATAGATGGTTCCACTGTTGTTTTCCTTGTAAAAGGAAGGGAAGACCAGCAACTGCTCTTAAAATGTCAAACAGCTGTAATGATGATTGTTTCTAATTTAAAAAAATACCCACAATATTCAAAGTCAGAGAAATACTAACGCCAACAATATCAAAAAGCATTTATTTCTGAAATATCTGGTTAGCATCAGTATCTTTCTGTAACAAGAAAAATAACTGACAAAGAACTCCTTTCACCATCAGTAACTCCAGAAAGTGAACAGTACCTGCTAGTAGTAGTCACAGCCCTTCAAGCAGGTTTTTACTTAGCTGATGGTTAGTGCCATTCTGTAGGGCTACTGGGCTGCCCTCTGTTCTCGTTAATTGTGCCTATAGCAGTGGTTTGCAACTTGAGCTTGTCTCAGAGGCATGTGGAGGACTCGCTAAAACATGGATTACTGGATCCTGCCCCCAGAGTTTCTGATTTTATAGTTCTAACCAAACTACGCATTTGCGTAGCTCTAACAAGTTGTCAGGTGATGCCAATGATCGTGGTCTGCGGAACACACTGTAAGAACCTCTGGTCCGCACCATTGCAGTGTCCCCTCAGGGGATATCTGGGGTGGCTGGCAGCCTGAAGATGCTTGGATTCATGATTTCATGATTTTATCCTAATAAATGCGGCTTATTTCAACTCAATACAAATGTACAGAGCACCATTGTGAGTGCGGTGTTTGACGCTGTTGTGAATGCCAAGAAGTAAAAGATAGGGTTCTTAAAATAGCTTACAATTTAATTAGCAAGGAAACTGTATATGCCCGATGAATACAGGGAAATAAGAAAACTTGCCTGATTAGGTTGAAAAGTCTCGAGAATAAAGAATGGAGAATTAGGAAGAGTCGTTACTCAAAGACTTGTATAACTGGTTGAAAATGTTGAGACGTGGTTTCCTTGAGAGGGTAAGTAACATGAGAGCTGTGGAGCTGTGGGAAGTGCAATGGCACACTCGTGTAGTGAATGGCTATTGAGGCACAGAGTGGAGGCAGGTAGACCGCACATGATGCTACCACGCCTCGGTATTCTTTTTCCAATGGTAACAATAAAATGTACCTTTGTGTTTATTATGGGGATGAAGTAAAATTATGGATGTAAAGTAACAAGAATAAGCCCTGTCACATTTTAGGTAACTACTGTTACTCTATTAAATAAAATATGGTATGTATCAACATTGCCTAGAACACAGAAAATATTTAATACATGCTAGTTCTCTCCTTTCCACTTAAGAAGGCTTTATAATAATTAATCTATGAAAAAATGACAGGCGTAGAAATGGAAAAGAAAGGTAGAATTCAGTGAATATGATTAAAAAAACTGTCTTCAGAATAATACAGTGTTTAAACAAGGAAGAATAGAACATAGTTTGACCCATTCATTTGATAGACTATTAAAAATAAATTAAAAATCATGATTTTTAAAGCACATGCAAGAGCATGAGAATTAATGAGGAAAAGATGAAAAAGCATTTTAAATAATGTATGATCCCAACTATGTAAAATGTATGAAAATAATATTCTATTAAATATTTCAATTTATTAAAATGTACTTTTAAAGATATTGGGTGAACAATTGCCAAGGCATTGAAATGAGGGACTGAATAGAGGAAGAATCAAAGACAAGTTCATATTTGGACCTGAAGACCAAACAGTTCCGTATATTGGCTGTATGGCTGTTGACACAATATATTCTTTTCTTATGTTACATGAAGACTTTAGGTCAACCAAATTGTTTTTTATTGTTGTATTCGCAAAACACCCAGTCTTGTTCAAAAGAGCTAACTAAGGTGGTTGTTTCACAGAGCAATCAATTAACCTTCTCAGAGTTCCAAATCCATTACTACTACTGATTAATAAATACCAAAATTTAATAAACACTATCAATCACTGACTTAAATTCACCATTTAAGACTTTCATGAGGCTTATTCTATGGCAGGAGATCACTAAATAATAAAATAAAAACTAAAAAACACTACAAAATGACACATGATGAAACTGTGATTCTACAGAGCTATATCAGAAACAGGAGTGAGCATCCTATAAAACCTTGAGGCTAAAGACTCTAAAAAAAGAGTTAATAAATAAAGATTTGATGTCTATTATTATGTCCTCTGGTCATCTAAAAATTAGTATTCTGAAGTACTGCTTCCTATAGTGAATTGGAACTGAACCAACTGATATATTTTCTAATTAATTTGTCCTTTTAAAGTGTGATGACAACAATGAGAGTTTCTGGCTTGATGTGCCTTCTGAAGCTCTGTTAAAAAGGAGGTCAAAGACAGTTCTAAATTACACTTTGGCAGAAAGCTGTGTGTATAATATTTATAGAGGAAGTGTTTTTCAGAATTGGTTGGGGGAAGATGAATGGTTTTGCCGATTTTGTCTAAAGTAATGTAGATTTACATTGAAAGTAGATCTGGGTTTGATAGGCTACATTTAACTTTTCAGGCCTCATGAAAGTAAACAAAAAAAGATTTTGGTACAAATATATGTTTTAAAGCCCTATCTTTGTGATTTAAATGTTTCGGAATTACCTGAATTGGGAACAATAAGATGGCCCCCGAGAGAGTTGAAGGTGCCAAACGCAGTACAGGATGGATCAGTCTGCCTTGCCAGACTCTGACTCTTCAGGTTGAGGGCTTCGTTCTCCAGCAAGGACTGAGTCATCTGAGGGGACAGCTTAGATGCAAACTCAGAGAGGTCATCTTGCGGGGTGACAGCACCGGAGGTGTTGTACACTTTGATTTTCAGGTTAGGCAGTGGATCCAGAATTGGAGAGTTGGTCATGGGGATTTTATCCGAGACATCATGCAACGCATAGACAGGCCCCCTGTACATGGCTGCTGCTGATGTGAGGTCTGGAGGCACTGCCAGGATATCTGAGTCAGAAAGAGAAAAGAAGCCTACTCGAATTCTTCACTGAGTCAACTTACATGAGTCTATCTCCCCCTGACGCTTTCTGAGTCAAATGCAAAGAAACTCAGCAAATATTAGAGACATATGGATACTACGGTTTTGTTGAAAATAGGGCAGTTAGATGACTAAGATGCATTCTATTATTGGCTACAGATAAATAGACAGGTTCTCTATTCTGCCTTGAAGTCTACTCAGTGCTCTGAAATATTTAGTTATTTCAACAGGTGAGACTCCTAGACAGTGATCCCCATTAGGTGACTATAGGTAACAGTTTCTCTTGCCTATCTGGATTTTGGGTCATCTATAGACCACTGTATTCACAGCAATACAAGATGTCTTGTCAAAAGAGAGGGGAAAAAAGGAGATTCAAGAATCAGTCAACACCAGTCCGTGTACTCTTTTCAAATAAAAGTTAAAAAGTATGACAGAGGAAACTGTTGGAGAAAAAAAAATCATGCACCTTGTCAACTCTAACTTGTTATGTGAATGAAGTTAATAGTCATTTACAAAACAAGGCGAAATCCCTGTCTTCATGGAGCTTATGGTCTAGCTAAACAGGATAATTTCCCTGATGTCGAAGCTAAGCGGAGAGGTTACTTAATGGCATAAGTCGCAGGTGTGAAGTGTAGTATCAGCTGACCTTGTCTTGCTGCCTTGATGTTCACAGGCTGAAAGCCTCCATTGAGTGCCGAAGAGTCGATAATATCAGACTCAAAGTCGCGATGATTCTTCCGATACACAAATAGGGCCACAACTACAGAGATGGCCAGGCAAACAATCACAGCTATCACGATGCCAACATACAGAGCAATGTCATCTGAATCAGGAGCAGCTACACGGGAGAAGGAAACATTGGACCCACTGGTTAGAGAAATTTCCCATAGTAGACATACGTATTTCTATAATTTTTTTTCAGACATTTATTACCTTTTTTATAGGTTAATTTTAAATCTATTTCACAAGCTATATAAAACAACTGTGGCCTTTTAGTAGAAAATTATCCCTGATTTCTTTTCCTTTCTCACTCTGCATCTATCTACCCACTCATCTACCTTAAGTTGGGCAGTATAAAAGATGATTTATTATAAGTCATCAAAAGAACTGGAGCTAAAGCCATCCTGACTCACAGGAGAGAAAAATTTATTACAACTTTCAGGTGGAAAGTTTGGAAGGTGGCTTTGAATTCACTGATAGTTCTTTAAAAAGATAAACATAAACACTCTGCTAGAACTATCTGGCATGTTCTCTGAATCTGTATATTATCAAACTGGAATATTTTCCTAGTACACTTCCAAGTCATAAAATTACTTTCCATAGTAGTCTTCTCACTTTCCCCTAAATCAGTGAATGTGGGTGAGTGGGAATGGTGTAGCTAAGCAAAGCAAATATGAGGAGCAAACATGTTGGATCTGAAAGGTGTGCTTTCAGAAGTCACGGATCTGAGGAACAGAGGTTAACAGTGGTAACTTCAGGCTTTTATATAGACTCAGTATTACCTGTGAGAACTCTAAGATTCTTTCTCATGGTCTCTTGTCAAAGATTTACATTTGAGCTACTCATTAGTGTAGTAAAATGCAACTCTACCACGTACTGAGTAAGATAAAGGCCTGGTTCAGTGATCAGAAAGGTCAGACTACTCCTGAAGGCATGTAGGCATTTGACCAACACAGTGTGTGGTCAGATGGCGGGGTCTATTTTCTGGGTAAAGAGAGAACAAAATTTCTGTAAATGCTGCATGTTGCCCTGGGGGCATAGAACATGCTTGGACCAACTGGAAAAGGTGCTAGAAGTTGACAAATAAAGCAAAACAAACAAACAAAAAAGTAAATCTTTCCTGAATCCCACTGACATCTTTAAGTCTCTATTTTTAGTTTTCTTTGACCCACAAAAATTTTCAGCAAAGTTAATTGAAGCTTTTTGGCTTACTGTAAAAAAGGTGATTAAGTAGGTATTTCAGGTGGTCAACAATAGCTTTCTTATGGTCAATTTTGGCCATACATGCATTTTGGCAGGGAAAATTTTCAATTTTATAGGTCCTGTGACCTTATAACAGTTGAGGAACTATGACTCTATCCTAAGACTCACAGCCACAAGGTTCATATGGTGAAGTGACTCTTTTAAATTGTCAGTGGCTATACTCTCACGTCATGGTTTCTTTGACGCATTGACAGTATAGAGAAACTCTCTGTTGGAAATCATTATGTCTTTTTTAGAATTCTGTGTTTAAATGTCCTGTAAGTGAAAGGATTATTTTTTTCTTCTGAACCATTGTCTTTTCCAAAGTCTTCAGAATAGCTGCTTTCCTAGCAATCAAGTCAATATTCACAGATACTTTCAGAGGCCCCGTGACCTCCCAAACACTCTTGGTGGTGTGAGCACTGCTTTCATTCGAAGTGTTGATGTTGCTGTGTTGCGGGGTTCTATCTGCGGCCCTGCAGCAGCACTCTGACTCTGGTCAGAATGTTATATCACTATCCTGAATGTTTTATTTTACCGGGCTATAATTACTTACGCAGGATTCATGATTTCTAACTCAATTGATCTGCGTTTTCTCAACCTTTTATTTTTTAGCATTTGAATCCTGGCTTTTATTCATTCATATCAGCGTATTTTAGGATATGTTTTGTCAGCTACTGGGACTCCAGCTTTGAATGATGGGCTGATAGATTTTAAAGCTGGTAGAGGCTTGAAATGACCCTTTTTTCTCTTCAGCAGTGAAAATCTAATTTGTTTTTCATGTTAAAATATATTAGGTGCCTATTTCCTGTGTGCACATCTGTGATCTAAAGAAAGGTAAACTTGAACCAGGGGCAATATCGTTAAAAGATTATTCAGCAACATAAAAAAACCAAACATCAAACTTACAAGAAAATCCATATTCATTCTGGGTTCTCTGTTCAGTTGAAATAGGATAAATGAAACCTTGAAAAGAAACAAAAAAATGAAGCAAAAATAGGAACAAAATCAAATTAATGAGGGAAACAAAATAAGAAGCATGAAAAATGTTTAATTAAAAGAAAAGGAAAAGGATTCTGTGGTCCTTTAAAATTCTGGTTCAGTACAGAATTATGATTTTGCATCTTCTGTCTGCTCTGGAGTCTCAGTAAGAATTAATAACTAGGCAGATTGAATTTCAGAGCAAAAACTGGTCTCGAGTCACTAACTTTGGAGTGCTTAAAGTCTTTCTTTTATTGAGCATAAACTCTAATGGATCTAATTTATTTCAGACATCATGGGTCATTAGCATAAGGAAAATCTTTTTTCCTTATCCCTGCCATATGCTTTAATTCCCACGACATATTCAGTAAGGCTCTAAACAGTTTTTTTTTCTTTTTTATTAAATCATAACAGCTTGCTCTTGGCCTAATAGAACTAAAAGGGACCTATCGTCATTGGTCAAAGGTTAAAACCCCATTTACTGAGCTGAGCCACGACCACCCTTCTCTGCTCCACTTCAGATTCACTTTTTGGATTTTTTGTTGTTTCCCGCTCCCTTTGCTTAATGGGAATCCAATAGGTTTTGCCTGGGGACTGGGCAGTTTGTCAATGCAGTGGAATGGGATGCTTTTTGTTTGAAATCATTCAGAAATCAATAGGGTCCAGAGGTTTTAATGTTATTTATTTTAGAGCTTCAGAGGAATGGTGTACATTGAGCGAAATAAAAACCCCATCTCAATAGTAAATGAAGGAAAAATTAGCAATTTTAGCAATTTTATTTTTCTTTCTTTTTAGTATATTCCAAGGTATGAAATGGAAAATAAGAGTAGCAATAATGATTAATAACATGTCAATGTGAAATAGATTAGGAGAAAAAATTTAAAAATGTGAAATGCAAAACTTTGAAATAAAAAAAAAATCTATGAAAAATTTTAAAGTACAACTTAAAACTGGCACAGTTTCCTAATATTTAATAATATGCTGCCACATGAGTTAATCAAATGAAGGTGAATAAGAAGCATGTGAATTATACTTTCCTAGTGATACCCAAGAGCAAAAATGTAGAGAATCTATAAGAATCGCAATTAATTGGTTTAAAATTAAATGTGTGTAATGCTTTAATTCTAAAGGTAAATCTAAATCGTGCCTCAGGTCGACTTTTTTGTAGTTTGCAGAACAGTCTGTTCGTACAAGCTATTTACCTATTTGGGGGAACTAATTCTAGAGAAACATGCAGTGCTACCTTAATGAAAGAGAGGTTTGCTGCAGCACAGGCAGGTTTGCTCTGAATTAATATTTAATGCTTTATTTTAGAGCAATGATTGCAGCCTCCGACCCAGTTTTATAAATATTATATTCCTTATTCCAGGTGTCTGAGTCCATGTATTAGGTTTGATTTTCATTTTAAACACTTCTGTCTGGTAATAACCTTTTTCCATTTGTATTCTGTGAACTCAATAACAGAACACCTGGGACATACACGGGCACGAGGGAAAAGGTTATTCCTTTTTGAAACCCAAAGACTTAAGACAATACAAGATCACTGACTGCTAGGAGAGGAGACCAGATCACAGATGTTGTCATTTTGGTAGGGTTGCTGCTAAAGAAGGATGCCAAAAGACTTGTTTTTGGCAGGCGAGAAGGCCTGGAAATCAGTGTAAAATAGGGTACTTGGCGACGCCCTGATGTTCGCCATGGAAAGTCTGATAAGAATGAGTGAGTGCCTGCTGGAGTGAGCAGAAGAGCTGGAGCTTCTAAAGGGAAAAGCCCGTCTCTAGAGAGACAGAGCATGGGCTGAAATTTCTCCCTGTGAAGCAGTTCTGGACTTTCCTAGGCTCTTATCCCTACTTCCCAATAAAATCTCTGTTCTTGATGGGCAGACCAGGAAATAATAAAAAGAAATTTCATAATTTTGACTTTAATCTCAACTCTCCCGTATTAATGTAGATCTGTACAGCTCAAATATTTTTGTGACTTATGGTATTTATCTGAGGCTTATATTTTATTGCAGGCACAGAACTGGAATTCATTCATTCACTCATCTAATGACTACTTTTGAACTTGAATATATGCTGGGTTCAATATTAGCGTCAGGGGTACAATGGCAAATCAGGTGGGAAAAGTTCCTGCTTTCATTCTAGTTTAACAGAAAACAAACAAAAGATAAATAAGATCATTTCAAATGCTGAAAAAGTCCTTTTAAAAAATAAAACGAATATAATGTGATTGGACATAAAAGGAGAACAAACTTAGAAATCAAGAAACAATTTTTTGTTGAAATGAGGTCTGAGCTGAAAGTTGAACAATGGGAATCAGTCAGGAAAAAGATCAGGAGGGAACAACGGTCTGTGAGGAGGGAGGCGAAATGCCAAGATCCTGACGGCGGTTCGAGGGCAGGGAGCGAGAGGAGAAAGGGCCCCTCAGATGCGTGATCAGCAGCAAGACCACGGAGGCCTCGTGGTTCCTGACACGGCTTTTCCAATTTATTCTAAATGAAGTAAAAATCCTGTGATCGAATGTAATTTAGAAAAGATCATTTTTGTTTCTCTATAGATAGTGCAGGGCAAAGTGACAGCATTTTATGATAGTTTCTACAACATGTGGCTTGGGGGATGTCTATCAATAGGTATATCAATATATTTGATGAAGTGGCTGCATTTGAGGTTTCTGGAAGATAAAATAGAAAAATAAAAGTCTCACTAATAGTTATTCCCCCTAGCCAGTTAGGACCAATCTAGGCAAACTGTTATTTTTATATGTGGAAAAATTTAAAACAGACGAGGATTCAACATACTCACCAGTGGTTCAACACCCCAATTTACTCTGATCTGGAAACACCGATAAAGAGTTTTAGAAGGTAACTCTGTAAAACTTTTTCCATCCTTTTCAAAACAC